GTATTTAATTTGATCATCTTTCTTGTCATTTTCAAAAAAAAAATGAGTATAACTAGCATTAGTTCTTGAACTATTTATTTGGATAGGTGTAGAGAAAGCTGATGGTTTAGTTGTTTGGATCACTCGTCTTTTTTTTCGATCGTGTTTTAAAATTTCTGTAGTATGTAAATGTTCATTATTGGCTTCATCATTAATTTCATTATCCGGTTCATTATCAATTTTATTATTTGAAACAGGACTATAAACAGTGCTTTCTTGGGATGTCCAAGAGACTTCGTCTTCTAATAATATTGGTGATATTGATCGTTCTTGAGAAGACATTATAGTCATAGAACATATAATAAAATCAATTAATATATTGTGAGAAATTTAATTATGACATATAATATATATATAACGATAAAGTTTAATCCGTATAGTATCGTATGGCAAACAATATGGTTGATTTATATATTATTGAGAAGCTTGATTATTCAATGACATATAAAAGTTAATTCTATCATATGACAGATTTAGAATTCATTAAATTCTTTTCTTATCAACTTTGAAATAATATTCGATTTGGTATAGTTTACAAATATAACATATTTTAAATAATAGCTTACTTTGTATGATTTACAAAATTAAAGTACGTACATACGTACAATAAAAATTAATTTATATATCGTGAAAAGCTTGATTATGCTATATAACATGCATAAAGTTTATGACTATCGATATATACAAAGTTAATTTGGTTTGTTAATTTTCTCACTGGTTCCTATTAGACGAAATAGATCTCATCAAACTTAAAATTTTGATTCAATCAAATAATGACATACTTATTAAAGTATCGTTAGAGCTATATAAGGTCTAATAGAACATATGCAAAAAACTTTTTGCTATAGGGATGTTAAAAGTCTGATCTGGTTAAGTTCTTAAAAAGTCTAATTCCGAACTAGCTAAAAACTAGTTCATAACCCTTTCTGAAATCAGTCTAATCCTAGTGGTTTAATATATAAAACAATATTGCAAATTAAAAGGCTTTGAGATCACAAACTTATAGATCTAGTTTCTGTTCGGATTAGTTCTGAACTGTCCCTAAAAAGAATAGCACCAGATCTAATTCACTAAACATCCTTATTTTGCTAGAAAGTGAAAGGTGGTGTCGTAGGAGTTTCTAACTCAAATATCAAGCTCGTTATATTTTGTTGACCCTCAAAAGGTCAAATGGGAGAAGTATCTCAACTCGAAAATAGAATATTTAGTAAGAAAAAACACTTCTTATTTTTTATTTACTCTTTTTACTTACTGTATATACTCACTTTAACTATTTTTAATTACATCATATTTCAATCACTTAATTACACCATTTTCTATAAACCTTATTACGACTA